AGCTCATGGTCATCCCCCGTTGTATCCAAATGCTTCCTGTATCCCTCCCCAAGCAACTCAGAACGAACCTATTAAAGCTGGTGTTTCATCTGATTTTGCTTCACGAGTGTACAGACCAGTCCATTCAGAACTGCCACATCATGGAGGAGTGCCACTTATCCATGTTCCATATGATGGAAATCAGCAACAACCATCAGGTGTTTCTGAAATGCAGCATGAAACTATTGCTATTGCTTCCAGGGAATCTCCTAAATCCAGTGATCAGCCTGATAATGACCCTGCACGTGACCTGATATACAAATCTCAGCCTTCAGCACCGTCATTGGCTTACCAAAGCATGACCAAAGATACAATACATTTATCGGAAGCCTTGACTCAGTTTCATATAGACAACCGTAAACAACAGACTGGGAACTTGGACTCACAATAGTTATACTTTCCAGAAGGAACGATTTTGTGAGATGTTTTGTGGTAACTCCAACTTTCTTTGTTGGCTCTCATTTTGGCATGTGAATGTGTTATTCGTTTGTTGTAGCAACAAAGAACTTGAATCTTATTTTTCTTCTTTTTTCCCACCTTTTTGTTGTCTGTTCTATGTTGTAATTTGATAGTATATGTATTTAAGTATATACTAGAAGTCATAGAAGAGTGATGCATAAGTTCAATCTAATGTAAGAGGATTTATTTAACTCTTTTAAAGTTCCGATGTGCTAGTGTCTCAACCTAATGAATTCGTGCGTGCAGCAAATAGATTTGCTGAAGGACTTAACTTTCTGTTCTCAAATATATGAAATGTAACTGTTTGTGTCATTTGTTGCAAGTATGTATGTTTATATGTATGTGTCGCCTCTTTTCAATCTTGGGGATAGGGGTATTGATCATTTGTCTGTATCTGTGTAGTCTTTTTTCTGCTGTGAATAAATTAACTGATGCTTTAAAGTAGGGTCTCTGGTGTACTTCTGAAATGTAACGTTGGGAATAGGGATATTGATCTATTATTTCTTGATATAGTTAATTCACTTTAACGTAAGTTCTTTTTAAAAGCTGTAAACTTGTCATGAATTAGGACCGAAAATTGAGATAATGGTTATCCTATTGATAATTCCTGATCGTTGGCCTGTGGCAGTGATCATCATGTTTGTGGTTTTTTTGAGCCCCTTTGATGGAGAGCAGAGTATGATGCTCTGGCTTCAGGAACTAAGTCACTCCCTTTTTCACATGGGAACGACATTCACCTTCCTCTGTTCCATGCTAAATTTGGTATTCTCTTCTTCCTAATATCTCTGCAATTTTATCTTTTATCTTAATCTGAGACACCAGAGCATGAAGACATATGCTTCAGGAAGATGAGCCATGCAGTTTTTTCTTAAGATGTTTTTCTTTGCTCGGTGTCCTTTCTTTGTGTCTTACCAGTTCCTTTGAATGTGTATCAAATCATTCAAATGTAACTTAGGCATGTCCTATATGTTCTTACATTAATCGTTGGCAGTCAAGCCAATGAGTTTGACTGTCAATTGTTGGTGCTTTGCTTCTGAAGATGGGGTGATGCAGTGATTTTGGCTGATGCATAAACTAGGGTCAGGAACCGCTAATTGTTCATGTTATTATGACATACAATTTCAAGAGAATAGAATACAAGAAAACAAATCATTGATTAATTGAACAAAATAAGAAAAACTAGGCAGCAGAATTCTTACAAGGAGGCAGAAATATGTACAATTGCCTTATCTGTTGTGCTATATAACTCATGAACATGATCAGTTCCTTTTTATTTGTTTCTGACCTTGCACTAGTTCTCAGTAAGTGGATTAGGCAAACCTGGCCAAATTGTCACAGACAAATCTCATAGAAGGTCTCCTTTCAGGGGCTTTATGAGCACAAGCAAGAGCCATTTTCAGTACTGCAACAATCTCCTCTTCCATGTCTACATCAGGAGCTAGGAAAGGGTCTAACAGATCAACGAGCGGCTTCCTTTCATCAATGCTGAGCTGAAACCATTGAATCAAATCCATTTCCAAAGAACCAATTCTTTTAAAGGGCATCTTTGCAGAAATCATCTCTAGTATAATTACCCCAAATGAGTAAACATCCCATTTCTGTGATGGCTTGGTAACTTTAGAGGCTTCCGGAGCTTTATAAAAAGTCCCTGCTGCAGCTAGTGAGCTTGCTACCCTTTGCACGTATGGAGAATTCTGAGGTGGTGTTTCAGTCATGATTTGTTCAAGTTGAAATGATGAAGAGGAGGAGGATTCTTCAGTTAAATTAGCAAGGCGACCTAATCCGAAATCAGAGATATGGGGTTCCATGTTTTGTCCAAGCAGTATGTTGCTAGGCCTTAAGTTTCCATGGACATATTTTCTGGGACTGAATTCATGAATATAAGCCAAGCCTTTTGCCAAGCCTTTGATGATTCTGAGACGAACAGGCCAAGAAAGAGGTGTGAAGGATACCATTCCAGATTTGCCTAGTGAAGTCATATATCAGATGCTTAGTGTGTTGAAAAAAAAGGTGAAAAGCTCGAGACAAATTAGAAAAGAAAATTATAGAGTTCGATGGTTAATGTGAAGTCATATATCAGATGCTTAGTGTGTTGAAAAAAAAGGTGAAAAGCTGAAGACAAATTAGAAAAGAAAATTATAGAGTACGATGCTTAATGTGAAGTCATATATCACTTTACAATGGTAAAGTTTACGACTTTTAGAGTTTGATACATCAAATTTTTTTCATCTCAGTTGCATACACAAAGTTGATTTTCTTACCAGTTTCATGCATGACATCTGTCTTTCTGTTAACAAGTCTGTTAAATGTTGATGTGGCAACAAATGTGCCCCGTAAAATCTTAAAATTAAAAAAACAAAATCAAATCTCTCTCTCTCTCTCTCTCTCTCTCTCTCTCGCCCTGCAGCCCCCATCGAACCCACACCCCCAACCCTAACGCCGCCATACAACCACCCTCATCTCCACCCGAGATCCACCCCTAGCCCCACTCGAGACCCATCCAGATTCTCTCTCTCTCTCTCTCTCTCTCTCTGCAAATTCAAAAATTGAAAAGAAAAAAAAAATTAAAACACTTTGCATCTGGGATATATGCGGGCCACATGGTATCATATGAGTGGATCTACATGGCACATTTGTTGCTACATCAGCAGTTAACAGACTTAGTAATAGAAAGACCGACGACATGTATGAAATTTATAAGAAAATCAACTTTGTACATGCGACTAAGATGAAAAAAATTTGATGTATCAAACTCTAAAAGTCAGCAAACTTTACTCTAGTAAATTGAAAATTACCCAAAATAAAATATGTATTAACAAGCAGAAAGATCAGTTTAAAGTGTCTGAAATTTAATTTTGTTGGTAGAGGTTAGGGAAGGTTACCATGAATTGCAGAAGCAAGGTCACCATTAGGGATATAATCATATATGAGCAGTTTCTCATCAACAGACCAGCAATATGCTAAAAGAGTCACAATGTTTTGATGTCTGATCTTTCCAATTGCTTCAATTGCAGTTTGAAATTCCCTGAACCTTTGGGAACCTCCATCTCCCAATCTTCTCACTGCTAGGGTTCTTCCGTCTTCAAGAACAACTTTATACACAATCCCAATTCCACTTTTACCCAGAAGAAAAGCAGATGCTTTCAACAGTTTCTCAAGATCTAAGTTCACCTGTAGGTCCACTTGCACAAAATGGTAGTGCTCCAGATTCTCTGATAGGGTCTCCAAGCCATCTTTTGCAAAGCAAGAAAAGTCTTTTCTAGCCATAAATTTCTGCTCAAAGCTGCATCCAACAAAATGTTCACTTACTTTACAAGCACAAACCTTCTTGTACCAGTTGGAGAACAACAGCCCAGCAATGCAGATTCCAATCATGACACCTGCAATGACAGTAATTACAAAGATACCTGAGCTTGAGTTGCTGTGTTTCCCATTCATACCAGGGCTTCGACCTGTATTTTGAGACTGGTTGTCAATCAAAGACTGAGAATTTGAGCCTGAACTGCTAGAAGGACATGAAATCTTCGATGGGAGTCCACAGAGCAAAGGGTTTCCTACAAAAGCTGTTGGACCTAAATTGAACAGAGCACCATTCTGTGGAATAGGTCCACTGAGATTGTTGTAACTGAGATCAATATAAACTGTTTCAGGCAGGGCTCCTAGGCTTGCTGGAATCGAACCGTTGAAGAAGTTGTGAGACATATCAAGGGTTGCTCTTAAACTTGACAAGTTGCTCATGTCCTCAGGGATTGAACCGCTGAGATTATTGAAGGAAATATTGAGCTTTTGAAGACTAACCAAACTGGTTCCTATACCATCTGGAAGGGAACCAGAGAAATGGTTTTCACCGAAAACAAGCATCTTTAGTCTCTTGCATTGAACTATAGATGAAGGTATTGAACCATTGAATGAATTTTGCGAGAGATCTAATGTTTGCAGGTAACTGAGCTTCCCTATATCAGCTGGAACCGAACCAGATAATGAATTTCCTGATAGCACCAAGCTCTGCAGCTCTTTTGCATTGAAAAGCTCATATGGCAAGCTTCCGAAGAGCTCATTGCTCCGGAGATTCAGATGGCGGATTGCAGAGAGGTTTCCAAGAGCAGGAGAGAAAATCCCATAAAGATTTCTGCTTGGAATGCTTAGAGATACAACTTTGTCTTGTCTGCATGTGACTCCAGTCCATGAACATGGGGTTTGGTCTGAAGAGTTCCAGTTACTCAGAGAGCCTTCAGGGTAGTGCATTAAGGATTCTTTGAATGAAAGTAGAGCCAATCCTTCTTCGTTTACACAACTTATAAATGCAAGAGAGTTGCATACAAGGAAAACCAAGTAAAGCACTTGCAAAACCATCTTAGCAAAAGCAAAGTTCTTGCCAAAGAAGAAATCAAAATGCCAAGGAGCAAACTGGGTTTTATGAGGACTGATGAGGGGAAGCAAAAACAGATGGAGAGAGAGAGATGACAAACAAGTTTATTCTTGCTGATTCTGTAAAGTAGGCATTAGTGGTGACCAAGAAAAAAGGTGATGCTGACTATAATCTCTACTAAGAGAGTAAGTAAGACGTTGCTTTTTGTGGGCCCTCCTTACTGCTAATTAGATATAAACACAATGTTTTTTTTGTCTCTTAAAACCACTCAAAGAAGGTGATTGATTTGTTGTAATCTCCGAATATATTTATTCCTCAAACTTGAGCGTAGGATATATGCTTGAATTTATTGTCAGCCATGAAGAGGTTCCTTTGATTGCTAATCATTATAGGGAGGCGTGGTCCATCTTTAGTTATTAAGCGCAATTGGAGGCGATGTTTGTGTGTGTATTGATTGCCGCTGAAAGTGCAAGGGAAAGATTTGGTGTGGTTAATTTTAGTTTGACCAACCCATGGGCATCCATGGCCCAGCAAATTGACTTAAGGAAAATCCAGCCATGAGACAATGGAGTTCGAAGACTGGTGCAGAAAGAACAAGCTTGGTTAGTCTTCTCTCCACTTCATCATGTTTTGGTGTTTGCACCACAAATAAAATAAAAAATACCTTTTTTCCCTAAACATGGTCCATATATCGTAGTTGTTAACCAAATATCTGACTCTTGATTAGCACCTGTATTGGATCTAAATATTTGTTAGATAATTACTGGATTTAAAAACCCTACGCAATTAGGAAATGAATCAACAATATATATCGAGCTAACACTCTCCCTCACGTGTAGTGTAGCCCCCATTAATCCTCCATGTAGAGAGACAGAGGTTGGGAATGGCTATTGAAGGTAGTGGCGGATCCAGGATTCAAAAGTCAAGTAGGAGAAACTTATCTTAAAAACTCGACGGTACGAGTGAATTTCATTCATAAAAATAAAAAAATACACCCAGTCGGGGGGACGTAATGAGCCTTACCCTCAAATATGCATCTCTATATATAAATAAAAGCTTAATAATAAAAAAATTAAAAAAAAATGCAATGCAACACAAAACTAAACTATTTAAATCTAAAACTTTACCCTACAAGGCTTAGAAATATTAAATTCCTTAATTATCTTTGCATTATTGATACTATTAGCTAACTCTCTTTCAATGTGGAGGATTATACAATCAACAAGGAATTCATCAGCTTTGGTGCTCCAAAGTCTATTCTTAATAATTCTCATATATGAAAAAGCTCGTTCTGTTGTTGCTGTAGAAACAGGAAGAGTCAACACAAATCGAATCAACCTGTAAAGCAAACGGTAGTTTTCTACTAAAGTTGTTTCCACCAATTGTTGACATAACTGAGGAAAACCCCCAAATTATAATTCATTCGTAATTAAACCCTAGAATACTCAATTTCAAATTAAAATTAAAATTAAAATGCATACATTTATTTTAGGAAAACCCCAATAGAAGAAGATAATTAAAGAGGAGAGAATAAGAAGAATACTTATTGGCCTTAGATATGAGAAGATGCTGCCAAGAGAGAAAGTCAAGACTCAAGAAGAAGTTATCAAGGAAAATGATTTGGGACTGTCGACTATTGCACAGCTGAAAGGAAATTGACTGCTAATATTGCTTGTCTCCCCTACTCTCCAAGTATTTAGCTCCATATTTCTAGTTGGAAGGAATGGACACATGTTAGGCTCTGCCTATGTCCTTGCTCATGTAACTCCTTTAGCTGTTTTATCTTTGGCACTAGCAATGTTTTGCTTTTGGCCCTTGTTAAATTTGGTTGGTTTTTAACCTTGGCACCATGTTGTTTCCCTTTGTGGCTGGGCCCTCTTGATTTGTAGCTTTGTAGCAGTTTCTTTGTCGTCTATTGAATGCAATACTTCAGTTCAAATATTGCTTCCCTTTTTCTTTTTTCTTTTTGTCATAAGTTTGACTAGGCCATCTCATAACACAAGTGTGGGCTGGTTTTTTTTTTTCCCCCCCCCCCCCCCCCCCCTTTTTTTTTTTTTTTAAGTTTGAGTGGGCCATAACACATGTGGGTTGCTTTTAAGTTTGGGTAGACATGGGTTCACACTATCACATGGGCTGGGTAGGAATAGCTTTGCTTAAATATGGGTTTTTTTTTTAGTGAAATTTTTTTGGGAAAGCAGTGCCTACCCTGCCCATGTGACGACACATGAAACTTAGCCACACAATATTTTCGTCGCGAACAATTTTTGAGTTTCGCGTGCATGTTTTCAGAATTTGGCAACCAATTATATGTTTGGTCACCAAGTCCTAATGTATCCACCAATCTTGTCTAAATATCGCGTATGTTTTGGCGACCACCTGGAAATAGTTCGTCGCCAATTTATAGTTTTTGCGACCAAAGTCAGGTTCGTCGCTAAATATTTCGTCGCAAAAAAGGTTTTCCCTTGTAGTGTTTTTAGTGAAAAAAATTTGGGTAGGCAATGCCTACCCTGCCCTTGCTGTAGGACCGCCACTGATTAAAGGCTCGGACTTTGGAGATTTCGAACCTAGGACCCCTTGGATTCCAAAAGCTTAGAGCACCTCCACCCCAAAGAGTAAGGGCAAGGCAAAGGAAATGCAATGTTTGTCACTATTCACGTGAATAGTGGTAGCCCTTGTCTTTTTTTTTTTCCACCGGCAAGAGCAAGGGCAATTACTATTTATTTTAATTTATTTTCTATTTTTTATACTTAAATAATTAATTTTGGCTTGGGAAGTGAAGAATATGACTAGGTATTTATATATATATATATAATTCTGAAATTTTTTGTTTTTTTAATTATTTTTTTCATTGCTGACATCATTGCCTTTTGGCCTACCTAGGCTTGTGGACCCCATCAACTGCCCGGTCTTGACGTTGTGTGCTGGAGCCAATTGCTAGGCCTAGGTCCCCTCATGCCCCGGCAAAAGAGGAGCGCTGGAAGTGCTCTTAGTTAGCAAGCCCCCTCTGAAATTTTTGGTTTTTACAAATTTTTTCGTTGCTGACGTCATCGATGACGTCAGCAAACCCATGCAAGATTTGCCTTTGGGCCTGCCTAGGCTTGTGGACCCTGTCAACTACCCGGTCTTGACGTTGCGTGCTGGAGCCAATTGCTGGGCCTAGGCCCCCCCTGCCCAGGCAAAAGAGGAGCGCTAGAAGTGCTCTTAGGGTGATATGAAATGATAAACGGTGTACATCATGTAACATGTTTCAAATTGAGAGTCAAGTGTGTTTAGGAATTCAAGTACAGATAACATTAAATAAAATAATTCTGGAAGTTCCTTCCAATTCTAGCCTTGATCAAAATAAAACAATCTTGGTGTATCATTAATCTGCTTTGAACTCTGTGTTACTGTGCACTACTTATAGTTGTGTTCACTTGTGCTGAACTTTGATAGGCACCATCTCTGATTAAATATGTTGTAGATAGATAACAAACCAAGTATACAGGAAAGGATACAGGAGTTTTTATCTTTCTTTTTTTCCTGCCTCTGATCTCCTACCTATGATGCATTTAGACTATTATTTTCTCATCTTTGTTCTTTTCGTCTCATATTTATCCTGAGCTAAAAATTCACTGGCAGACGTTCAGTTTGTATACAACAATAGAGCAGCATATTCAGAATACTTCAAGGCAGAACGTACCGAAAACACATCTGAAATAAGACTTTTATCAATAAGCATGACCACAACAATGACCTCTTCTATTTATTGACACAAGCATTCAACATACAATTACATACATGAATGTGCCACACTCTAAGCCCACAGCTATACACTCGGATATCTATCTCACATGCTTGCGGTAAGTCAAAAGCTAATGGAGCAGTACTTATTTGAAAAAAGCAAAGCTACAAGCTCCCAAAGCTCAAACTATGTGAGTGTAATTTATTCATTTGATAGACTAGATTCACTTGGCCAATGAGTATGTAGTAAACTTCAAATAGCTCACACTTCTTTGGCAATTTTCTTACCACTAAAAATCTTGGCCAGATTAGGCATTACCTTTTTTTTCTTCTGGATTGGGAAAGTATTCTGAGCTCCAGGAGAAGCAGATTTTCTATGCTTAGCTCGCCTGGATGGAGTCAAGTTTCCATTGCTTTTCATAGATTTTCTAGGCTGTGCTTGTTGTCGGTTTCCGTGTACTGCATTTCTCTCCCGCTTTTGTCCCAAGTTCTGTAATTCTCCCTCAACCCTCATCTTTCTAGAAAGCTGTCTTTCTGCTCTATAGGTCACTTGCTCTTCCTGCACTCTCATCTCTTTGAGATCTCTAAGGGATAGGTCTATCTTTATCAATATTTCCTTCTCACTGGCCTTTAGAGCTTCAATCCATGCCTGAGCTGCTGCCACCTTTTTATCGGCAATTTCTTCAGCCCCAGCTGCACGTCCAGTCAGATAGTCGTATTCGAACTTGGATATGGTAATTGAAGAACTACTCTGTGATTCAAAAGCTCTAGCTCTTACGGTATCCTCAATAAGATCTTTGAGATTTTCAAGAGCTACAGCTTCTGATGATTTGACCGTTTCAAGCTCTTCCATTGCAGCCTGTAATTTTTCCTCAGTCAAGTCTATCTCAGATTCCATTTTCAGAATTTCTGACTTGATGGTTGCAGCCTCTTCACAAGCAAGCTCCTTTTCTTTCCTTGCAGCCTCTGCTTCTGTCTTAAGCTTTTCAAGAGTGAGAGAAAGATTGGATGCCATTGATTTTGCTTTTTCTTCAGATGCAGATACAGCTTCCAGCTTGGCTTTTGCTCTGAGAAGCTTTGAATTGAGACTTTTAACCGTTAAATCCGATTTCTGTTCTGTTTTCCTTAATCGAGCAGTCTTGTCTGTTAAATGCTTAAGCTCATTTCTTATGATATCCATGGAGGCCATGAACTGAAAACCTTCTACTTTAACTGCGGCCAATTCTTTCTTTGCCACCTCTAGTTCTTCTGTGACTGAATGTAACAATGGTGAACCTTCCAAGTCCTCTCCTCTACGAAAACTAGGTTCTGAGCGACTCAAGCTATCAATCCTTTGAATCCTTTTGTCCATTTCTTTAACTAGCTTCAGTTCATTTTGTAACACAACCACATCAGACATTGTGACAGATAATTTAGTTTCAAGCTCTTTGGAGGAATCAATCTCTTCAATAACATCTTTCATTTTTTTCCTGGTTTCCACCACTGCAAATGAGAATTGATTGGCTTCCTTTTCTCTCTCAGCTTCAATATCTGCAAATTCTCTCTCAGCTTCAATCCGGGCCAACTCAGTTAGCACTTGCTCTTCATTGGCATCCTCAATCTCCTTCTTGATTGCTTCCACTGAGCTTGTATAAAACAACATCTTTGTATTTGCGGCCTCAGTTTGCTTCTCTGCCCGCGATTTCTCTTCTAAAACAGAAGCCACATCAAGCTTAAGCATGCTGAGTTCCTGCCTCACAAGTTCCAATTCTCTCATCACGTCTGCATATTGTTGATTCTCCACCTCCCCCAGAGCCAACACCCGATCTTCACGCTTATTTCCACGCCTTCTCGATTTCTTTAGTACTTCAATCTCTCGTGTATGTGACTTTGCATTGGAATTTGATTCCTCAATCACAGAAGAGAGATCTTTGGCTCTCTTGTATACGTCATATAGCTCAGATTCTGCCTGTGCTTTTACCAAATCTGTGTCTGTTCTGTTTTCTTTGAACCGACCTATGTCCCGGCGCGCCATATGGAGTTCTCTTGCTATTGAAGAAGACTTCTTAGGAAATTAACAGACAGATAGAGAAACAGAAAGATCAGAAGGAATGCAGATTGGTGTTATGCTTACATAGTGAAAGAAACTAAAACATCTGTGAAATGGGGTTTTTCCATAGTTTCAAGAGCTCTAGTTTGCTGAGTTATATATACATATATACCTCTGAGAAATCTCTCTCTGGTTTCTTCAGTGAAGGACTAGCTTCAAGAATCCTATCTTCATATAGATTGTTGGCTTTTCTAAATGACCCAATTCTTCTTCTTCTGCCATCAAACTCTCCTCTACTCATATTAAACCTGTTTTTAACACTCATGCATGACAATTCTGTTAATTTCTCACAAACCCAAATAACTTTTTTTTTCTGCTCAAATTGGAATGAAATTCTAATAAATAAATAAAACCTAAACTTGCTTTTCCTGATACTATTGCACAGATATTCTATTCATCAAACTCAAATGCAAGCAAAAAAAAAGCAACTAAAAGTAACAATCTTGAAACATACTCAGAAATGAGTACCTTGTGAGAGTGAACTTCGTTCCTTGAAAGCCAGAGAGCTTGAGCTAGGCTTTTTCTTTGTCAGACCGTTTTATCTTTATTCGGTTCTAAGAGGGAACAAAGATAAAACAGCAAGAGTTGCTTGTGTCCTGAGCTCCTGATGTTTGGCTGATATTGGAACTATCGCCAGCCATCTAATCTATTTGTTCTTTTTTTTTTTCTCCCACATTTAATTTTTTTTTATAAATATTATTGACCCATTTTTGGTGCAAGTCCAAAAGGTCATAGGTAAAATTCCTACTCAAGCTTTTTACAACGTAGCTTCAAATTTTCCCAAGTTGTCAATTTTATTAGGTTAAGAATCAATGTCCCTTAAATACTCATATAGATTTCTCTTAGTTGGAACAGTGGTCCACCCATTCGTACAATGATACAGAATGTCCTTTCAGCTAATGAACAAAATTTGTTCACATGTTGCCAAACATGATATACTGAAGAATATCCTCAACCAATAACGGTCTTTCTTCTAGGCAAAAATCTCATTTTGGTATCTGTAGTTTGCCCGTTTTACCATTTTTGATCTCCATAGTTAAAATTTTGTCTATTTATCATTCTAGTTTAAATTTGGAGCAATTCGAGGACAGTTTCCAATTTTTGTCAAATTACTTCAAATTCCGTTAAGTTTTGACCATGTGCCCCTCACATGAAAAAGTAAAAGTCTTGCATTAATAGCTGAAACGATCTCAAGATTTTTCACTCAATGGAAATTGATTTTACAAGTCGTGTTGATAAGCCCTGCAGGCATCTTTATTCTATTTTGTCAAGGAAATCTAGTGTCTTATTTCACACATACATGGATGAAATGGAACTCAACAATGGATGTATTAGCTAATCTTTGGCTTTAAGACACTGGCTCTAGAGTCTTACATTGGATCCTTTCGGCTCTGCATTCCTTAAAAAGTTTCCTTCGTATCATACATGTGTTTTCGCCTAGCTATGAGGTTATTATACCACTATTTGCATGGATATGTTCACCGTCGCAATATGCTTTTAATTTTATTTTATTATTTTTGGTCGGAATCTGTTTGCCTGAAACATCAACATAATGTGAACAATAGAAAGATTATTTTTGGATGAATTGAATTAGTAAGGAAGTGGGCAAAAGACAAATCATATATTACAAAGATAGTTTTGGCAGGACTGCAAAATGACACATTATAGACATTTGGATCTACTGACGTGTCTTAGAAATCGAAGGCAGAAGACCTGCCACGTCGTTGCATGCCAAACCATACGATTGCATAAAGCATAAACCAAAGAGGGTTGTTTTGTTTTCCACTTCAAGGGACATTGTGATTAGTGGAGGATTCAGAATTCTTAGGGCATTTTCAGTAGGTGTTGTATAATGAGGTATATGTTAAATATATCTTATTTGTTATCTGAATCATCTACAATGAATAGGTGTAAATGATTATAAATTTGCATTTAGGGACGGCCCCATAATTTCAAACTTGACTGGGCTAAATTTATCTTACATATAAACATACAAAGTAGATAGAAAACTCGATAGTACGATGTAATTTCATTGATAATAAAAAAATTAATAATACATCTACTCAAGAGGGGGACATAATGAGCCTTACCTCTCAAATAACACTATATAAGTTGCACCCTTTGAGTCTTCATCGAATTAAAATCATTAATTATCGATTCATTATTTATATTATCAGCAAATTCTCTTTCCATGTGAAGTAACATATAATCAGCAAGAAATTCATCACCTATCTTGTTTCGAAGCCGATTTTTTATTAGTCTCATATAAGAAAATGCTCGTTCTGTTGTTGCTGTAGAAATAGGAAGAGTTAGCACCAAACGAATCAATCAGTCAATCAAGTAGTAGGTTTGTGCTAATCTTGTTTCCACTAAGCGCCGAAGTAATATAGGAATGGAATCAAGATTCTTGAAGGTTGGATTGTGATCCATGTCAATTTTATAAAATCCCAGTTGTTGATTTAAAGCCTACAACTCAGTTGTAGTGAAATCTTAAGGATGACATTTATCAGCAAAAGTGTATATATCATCAATGTTAAATCTCTTGAAAGCATCACGAAGATCCAATGATGAGCTAAGACGAAGGAGTTCCACAATTTCATATGAAAATCTAGTATTTAACTCCCCCAACTGATAATCTATTACCTCATTAAATACATCCATATGATAATAATGCTCCACTATGATACAATCTTTTTCTTGACAAGAACGCCCAGTTCCCATTGTATGATGGGCACCCATATCAGGCATACTAATTTCATGTTTTTCACAAAATGATCATACACTTTGTCTAAATTCATCTCAATCATTGTTTCTCAACTCATCAAGCTCCATTTTTGTACTTGCAACCAAATTCAAAGCACTTACAATGTCCAGAGAGATTTTCTTTGAAGTTCTTGACAAAGAAAATCAGTGAATCTCATAGTTTTGTCCAACAAATTCAAGGCAAAGACAAAGTCAAAAGACAACATAGAAACTTTAATACATTCTGCTTCCCCACGAAATTGTGAGGTAGGTCCATTATGATTGATATCCTTTAGAAGTGTCTTGGTTGCACCAAATAAATCAATCAAACTCTTAATAGAACTAAAATGTGAGCCCCAACGAGTAGTTCTAGGTCGTTGCAGACATCGAATTTGATTAGCCCCTTTACCTATTCCAAGTCTTCCAGCTGCTAATAAGTCTTCAATTTCAACTTGTCGGGTTAATTTTAACTTAGAATGGCGTTTGGCAGAAGCACCAACAAAATTCACAATGTTATTCAACATTGAAAAAAATCTCCAAACAAGTCCTACCTCTTTAGCAGCAACATTTAAAGCTAATTGAAAGCGATAAGCAAAGCAATGAATATAATATGCATATGGACAATCATTGAGAAATAATGCTTGTAAGCCACTCCATTCACCACGCATATTGCTAGCACCATCATATCCTTGACTATGCATATTGCTTACTAAAAGACTATGCTTACTAAACACCTTACAAATATCACTTTTAAGAGTTGAGGAATTTGTGTCATGAACACTCACAATATCAAAAAACCTTTCTTGAATATGCCCATCACAACTAACAAACCTTATGATAATAGTCATTTGTTCCTTCTTAGAATCGTCAAGTGCTTCATCAACGAGAATACAAAATTTCTCATCTTCCCCAATTTCATCACGTATCATCTTCCTCACTTTGTTAGCATAGATATTTAAGATCTCCTTTTGTATCTTATGTGAAATATATTGGGCATTTAGAGGAGCATTTTGTAACACAACTTTTTCAACTTCCTCGTTCATTCTTGCAAAAGCCTTTACCAACTCAATAAAATTACCCCGATTAGAGAAGTCATGAGATTCATCATCACCTCTAAAAGTCATTCCTTGATTTGCTAGATACCTAATGGCCTCTATTGTGGTTGTAAGGCTCAACCTATTTTTCGCAACTTCTTGTGGGGGTTGCACAACTCTGTCAATATGGTGAGTTGAGTTTTTTAAATCCATCCACTTTTGGATAGCAAAATGATGTGAATTTATAATGCCTACATGAGTAAGGAAAGCACACTCTTTACCACCAACTCTTCACCAATTTCTAAATCCATCTATAGTGAATGCCTTATGTGAGTGATCAACGTCAAAAAGAAAGCATGGAAAACAAAACACTTTATCTTTATGAACAGAATACTCAAGCCAAGGATATTGGTTATACCAATTACCATTAGATCGACACATTTGTTTCCCTTCTAATGAGATGGATATTCCTTTAGTTTTGGTTGACATGGTCCTAAGAGAATATATGTTCTTCGAACATTATCACGTGATTATGCTGAATTGTGTGTATTTGAGGATGTAATCCTAGATCACGCTCAAGAGAATTGGTATCAACTTCTTGATCAAAATTGGCTCTTCGAGACTTAGCTCTTAAACTTTCATATTCAACCCTTTGAGATTCAGAATGAGATTGCTCCTCACAAATTGGAGGAAGTATAGAAGGGTTAGAACCTATGCTAGCTGATTCTTCATTTTTTTCTTTTAAAAAAATCCCGAATAGTCTTTGATCTCTTAGGATTTGGATGAATATAGGAGCTTGGTTCACTTCTTGAATTGAGCCTTAAAGGTGATTGCAACAACAACAAGAGTGTTTCTTTACGTGTGCAAGGGTGCAATATGAGTTTGGTGACAAAGTCGACCACTCTAAGAATAGTTGAAAATTTTCTTCTTCTTCTTTTTCCACCCACTGTGTGCATTCCTTTTCTTTTTTTTCTTTTTTTTCTTTTTTTCTCTCCTATGTGATGTTGCTATAGGCTGCGGCTTTTCCTTTTATTCCCCACATTCAATCAGTGTAAGCAAATGATTCCTAAGAAGGGTAGGATTAGGATATTCACTTGGATGGCTGGCTAGGCTATAATATTTTTTTGGGCTGGGATTTTAAAAGCCACCTGGGCTATAGCCCAGGTTAGCCAAAGCTATGTTCCATCCATGTTTGCATCACAACTATGAGATGCAAGTTAGATGCAAATGTATATCCTTTTTTACATCCTTTGCAGGTGGGGCCTACATAAGAAAAGGTGGACATGCATGTGCAACAAAATGGTTGAAGGTAAATCCACTTGCCCAAGACGCGCACCTATAAGGCAATTGCTAGACAAAAGTTTATATGTGAAGCCCGCGTCAATTATAGTTCCTTTGATGCCATCTCCAACGGCTACAAGCAAAATGAATTGATGTGGTTTTTTTTTCCAAAAATCATACCTTCTCCGAATTTAAATATTTTTAGGCCTATTTGTTTGAAAAAATAAAATAAACTAAAACACAAAAAATTAATTTTTTTTAAATTAACACAAAAAAATGTTGACTTGGGGGATTAATGAAGGGGATGAGTCGGGCTGAGCAAGTAAAAGGAGTTGGGGTGTTTAGGTTGACTCAATTAAGGTTTGCACCAAAGGTTGTTTGGGTTTTTGAAATTTTGATTTATTCTCTATTGCAATGGGTTTTAAAATTTATGTGTAGATTACCAAAGGAAAAAAAAAGTTGTTAATTTTTTACATATGTAATATATATGATGTTTTGATTCTTTTGGTTACTTTGGAATGTATTGTGAGTTCTTTTGGTTACTCTTCACTTCATTGATTACACAAGATATGAAAGCCTATAATTATAGGTCTAAGGTAACAAAAGGCTATAGCAAATAAAATTGGACAAGGCCAATGAGTTATATCATAGTGGGAAAAATATGTTTAGTCTAAGAAGAGTGGTGTCAGGTTTGAAACCCCTAGGCACCCGTCAAGGGCAGATCCAGGAAATTTTATAGTGGTTGGCTATTAATTTTTATTTATTTATGGGAAATCAATTATATTACATTTTTTTTCTTCTTAAAAACAAGTTTACATGGTTAATTGGCTATAGGCTATAGGTTTTTATTTTTATTTTTATATGCAAAGAAAATGAGTGGTAGCAACTATTCTTCAATTAACAAATTTTAAATTTTATGGGAGTACAAATAGAAGTAGGGAGTGCAATAATATAGATTTACAATTGCACAATCACAACCTACAAACATTCAACAAAACCAAGAGACAACTAGACTATATAAAAGCAGAGATCAAGTAAATAGATTAAACTAGAAAAAGGACATCATCAATAAAATTCAAAATTTAACACCCAAACCCTAAATCGTAAAAAGCTAACAATAACAATTGAAATTGGAACCCTAACCCTAAAGAACCCATTGGATATAGGTTAATACACTTTTAAAGAAGATGGGACCTACTATTTCTAAGCTCTCAAGTTCAAATATAAAGTCATAGATTACATGGATGGGTAATAGAAAAATATGATATTTGATGTGTATGGGTGCCTTTAGAGATGAAATCTTATGATTGGGATAGGCTAATGTCAATAAAGAGGGGTGGACTATTTTTAATTAACCTGGGTGTGACTTATAAAATTAACTCTAATCTTTTTTCATCTCCAAATTTAGCACTGGGCTAGAGCCCACTCTAGCCCATACATAGATCCACCCTTAGCACCGTTTAGGTTGACTCAATTAAGGTTTGCACCAAAGGTTGTTTGGGTTTTTGAAATTTTGATTTATTCTCTATTGCAATGGGTTTTAAAATTTATGTGTAGATTACCAAAGGAAAAAAAAAGTTGTTAATTTTTTACATATGTAATATATATGATGTTTTGATTCTTTTGGTTACTTTGGAATGTATTGTGAGTTCTTTTGGTTACTCTTCACTTCATTGATTACACAAGATATGAAAGCCTATAATTATAGGTCTAAGGTAACAAAAGGCTATAGCAAATAAAATTGGACAAGGCCAATGAGTTATATCATAGTGGGAAAAATATGTTTAGTCTAAGAAGAGTGGTGTCAGGTTTGAAACCCCTAGGCACCCGTCAAGGGCAGATCCAGGAAATTTTATAGTGGTTGGCTATTAATTTTTATTTATTTATGGGAAATCAATTATATTACATTTTTTTTCTTCTTAAAAACAAGTTTACATGGTTAATTGGCTATAGGCTATAGGTTTTTATTTTTATTTTTATATGCAAAGAAAATGAGTGGTAGCAACTATTCTTCAATTAACAAATTTTAAATTTTATGGGAGTACAAATAGAAGTAGGGAGTGCAATAATATAGATTTACAATTGCACAATCACAACCTACAAACATTCAACAAAACCAAGAGACAACTAGACTATATAAAAGCAGAGATCAAGTAAATAGATTAAACTAGAAAAAGGACATCATCAATAAAATTCAAAATTTAACACCCAAACCCTAAATCGTAAAAAGCTAACAATAACAATTGAAATTGGAACCCTAACCCTAAAGAACCCATTGGATATAGGTTAATACACTTTTAAAGAAGATGGGACCTACTATTTCTAAGCTCTCAAGTTCAAATATAAAGTCATAGATTACATGGATGGGTAATAGAAAAATATGATATTTGATGTGTATGGGTGCCTTTAGAGATGAAATCTTATGATTGGGATAGGCTAATGTCAATAAAGAGGGGTGGACTATTTTTAATTAACCTGGGTGTGACTTATAAAATTAACTCTAATCTTTTTTCATCTCCAAATTTAGCACTGGGCTAGAGCCCACTCTAGCCCATACATAGATCCACCCTTAGCACCAGTGTGAGTGAGTAAATCCCCCTCCCCCTTCCTACCTTTGACAACCAAAAAAATAAAAAATAAAAAACCTCTAAGACAAGTGACAAAAAGAAAGCTTCCTATTCATAATAATGGATCAAAGGCCTACATTTGCAGTACGTTAATTAAATTAAGGGAGATTTTATTGGCACCCTATTACTTGCTCTTTGCACCCCACATTCTTTTTACACCCCACTGAATTTTAGTAAAATTTAAAATTACTCACTATACCCCAGTTTTCTTCCTAAATTGCCCTCTTGAACCTCATTTCCTAACTTACTGTGTAAACCCCATCCCATATTATACCCCACCCATCGAAAACCCCCTTTTCTTTCAAACACACCCCATCTCATATCAAACCCCACCTCATCCCATATCAAGCCCCACCCCATCAAAAATTCCCTATTCTTGCAGACACACCCCATCGCATAACATATCATATTTGCAACAAACTCCATCGCATACCCCATCCAATTTGAAACAGAGCCATCGCAGCAAACCCCAACCCCATTGTAAACCCCCATTTCCAACCCCAAACGCCTCACCCTGTCGCAAACCACTATCGCCTCAGCTATTGAAATGGTTACATTGTTTCAATGGTAGTCCACCGAATTTGAACCTGGTCTGTACGAAAATTAATTTTACTTTCGATGGGTTACCACCGAAATCGTTACCTTGTTTTAGTGGTAGTGCACTTAATTTGTTTCCGTTTTTCAGCAATTGTCCACCAAATGTATTTTCGTTTTTCAATGGTACCCCACCGAATATGTTTCCACTTTTCAGTGATTGTCCACCAAATTTGTTTCCGTTTTCCAATGATCATCTACCGAAACCATTACTAAGTTTGTACTTAATATTATTTTTTAGATATGAAAATGACTTGCATAGGTACTACTGAGGCTTCCTCATATCGACTTGATAGACAGCGTCCCACAGCCTCAACGAGGAGATAGAGAGCGGCTCCCCAAGATCACTTTGAGGATACTACAAAGGTTGAAGATGTAGCTCATACTCATGATAGTAATGTTGACGCAAAGGTTGAAGATGTAGCTGCTAATCATGATAGTAATGTTGAGGTACATGCCGAGCCTATTGAGCCATCTCGAGCTCATTGATCCGTCTTTACTTACGAGTTTTAAAACTCACATAGCAGCTGCAATTTGGAATAACCAGGTAAGTTATTTTACTATAGCAATAGAATGCATAATATAAGTCTGGTTCATAGTGAAGTCCGATTTTAAAATATATATATATATATATATTTGGAAATCAAATGTTTTGCTTATAAGTTAAAATTTCGTTTAGATTGATTATATATGTATATGGGTTATAGTGTT